AATCAAGTTGATAGATTATACTAAATATAAAGTACGATGTTCCTTTACCTTTTTTTTTTGTTAAAAACATACTAATCTTAAAAAAAATTTATAACTCAATTATTAAAATTAATCCGTATTTTCTTATATTATAATTAAATGTTTTAAAAGACAACAATATTGAAGGAATTTCTTTAAGACCATAAATATGATTACACAACAAATAAGGAACGAAATCTTTAACGGTCGAGATGGAGTGAAACTAATTATCTTAAGTGCTAAGATAATTCGATGTATATTTATGTACTACATAAATATACTGTGTAGTCCTTTAAACTGCGTGCCGAAAAGACTTAAGTCTTGAAACGCCTGACTGAACTATTATATAGTAATATCACAAATTAAATTTATTAACAATTCAATAGTTTGATGCTCTCAGGCATCTTAGAAAGATCTTAATGATGCTGAATACCAAAATCTGTAAATAATTTTATTGCAAACAATATTACTTCAGTCGGAAATCCAACTCGGATCTCTTGCATTCCGTATGAGCGTCCTCATCATTAGACCACCGAGGCCTTAGTGATATTCTTCGTAATAGCTAGTACAAGTAGAAACTTGTCTTTTTGAGGCGACGCGATTAAAGATCTTCCCAAGATCAGCTAAAAAAAGTCACCAACTTCTTTCCCCTTTGAAACTATTCCCTTCTATCCCCTTTAAAACTTTTTTTAAAATTTTTTGTCTTAAACTTACAAATTTTGAGAAAATCGACTGGATAAATTAAAAATGATCCACCCTTTATATATATGCATAATAAATAAAATTCAATTAAAAATAAAATTGTTGTGTGGAAATGAACATTATATTTATGCCCAACCAGAAATATCTTTGATTATACAATATCTTTGATTATAAAAATTAGAAAAAACTTTTTAAAAATTTTTAAACTTAAAAAATCTTTTGACTAGAATTAAGATATTTTAATTTTTGAAATTAGATAAATGTATGCAATTTGTGACGACTCGCAAAAAGTTTCCATGTGCATGATATTCGATTTGTAAAACGCTTGAGAAAAGGCATTAATGCGGCGGTAGTGCACATGACTACAGCGAACATTATTATAATTTCGGTGCGACGTGCTGTATCTGGGCAAGAGCCGAGGGTCCTGGCGCAGAGGAGATTACGGCGATGTGACCGGACGTTGGCCACTTGACTGGTATTATAGATGTAATATCGTAAACAACATCCCTCTCAGCTGGTGCGCGCGAGGTCCGTACAAGTCACGGTACCTCGTCGGTTCTCCGTTGCATCGGATCGACCAACGAGTGCTCAGCAGCTCTAAACCCTTTCTGCTTCCCTTTACAAGCGTTACCGGTGTTTACTGTTGAATATTCATTCTTTAGCCGCATGTTCGTGGTGGCCTGTTCGTTGCTGCCGTATGGGCAGAGAACACGGGTTATCCACACATTATTCGATCTTATACTGGGCCGGGGCTGACCATATGCTTACCGCAATCCCGTGCCCCATTTTATATTTTGAATTATCCCCACGTACATACAATGATAAGTACATACAACGCTTTTCACATATTGTATTAAATGAAAAGCTTATATTTTACAACAAATCAACGATGTAATATCAAATATATATATATATATAAATTTTTCTTTTACACATATCTCAGATGCACTTATAAAACACTTATTTATATTCATCATTAATGTATATTTATAGAAATTATTTATACTTATTATAAATCAGAGCGCGTTTACCTATTTTTGCTTCTGAAGTAGTGCTAGAGCGCCAAAGTGTCAAAGGCACCACAGTTTCAAAAAACAAAAGGAATTAGGCAATTTAAACAAGCACGTGTATTGTGCTATTTTATAAAATGTAAATCATTGCAACGATAGATGTCCAATAAGCAAGAAATATTTTGAAATATTTCAATAATATTGTGGTAACATTGTAACATTGCTACAATGTTGCTCAACATTGCTCAATTTTTACAGAGAGAAAATCACTGTTAGATTGCATGTATGAAGTTGAAAATAATAAAGTGATACGATAACGTGAGTTGTTCTGAATGAGTAAGCGAAACAGACAAGATAATTTTTACCAGAGGTATGACGATAAAAAAAATATCCGATCGTTTAATAGAAAAAAACTCTGATTGCATCGAACGTTGAATTTTTATAATCGTTGTCATATGAAATATTTAACATATCTGATATCTTGAATATTGGAGGCGAGCCAATTTTTAAGACTTGATTGCATCGTTAAGTTCGAATTTCATACATACAATCCACCGTTCTATATGTCAATGCACCATTTGGACATAGCGATGAAATAAGGACATTCATACAATAGCAGGATTTACCATGTTACCGCGTGAAAATGTTCTCTATGTCGAAGAAAGATTGGTGACAAAGGAAACGAAAGAAAATACAGCAATGCTTGGAAATAACTATGTGCGGGCGTTTATGTTTAACGAAAACGTTAGAATAATCAATATCTTAAAAGGCTATGAATGGTTTTCATCTAACACTCAGACCATGAATAATACTGGAGATTAATCCCAAGTGAATATACAGCAAAAAATCTAATCACAGATGACGGATATTCTAATTTTTGCATGTCGCTCAACGTTGTAGTTAAGCTTTTGCGAGGATTACAAAACATGTGGTAATTAACGCTCGTCACGAATTAATTTTAACACGAGCGCGTAATAACAATTGCCTTGTGGGAGATCCAGCGGCAGAATCGATGCTTGAACCCAAGTAGCACAGCAGCGCCTGCAAAGCGTTAAAAAAAGCGCTTATATACTTTTTTTAGCACTTTTTTAACATTTTATAGACGCTGTGTATTACTTGGGAATTATTCAAAGTACAGTGGCGAATGTCTCGTGTTATGTTGTACGAAGTCAGTAAATTATCCATACTGCACGCCTTGAAAAGTGGACGATATCTGAGTATGAATTTTCGTTCATGGGATCTACACGAGTAACCCCTATTGCTAAGCACGACAAAGCACGCCTGGGCTATCAAGACTGTGATTCAGCTAAAAAAACCATGATATGTTACCTTTACTATGCAGACTAGTGCGATTATTTCTTCGTAAAATTTCAATCTCCTTCAAATCGATTTTCAAATTTCTTTTATTATCCAGTCATTTATGTCTGATGTCCGTTCTAATAAAGTTATAATCGTGAAGACACTCGATTCACTAGTTACTAGCATGTCGAGGGATGTTAGGAATAAAATTTTTCAATAATATATCGAGTTAAACATACATACACTCGACAAGAAGCCTATAAGTAGCAGGTTCTGTAAGTAATCGATCAGAAGCGACTATCTTCGCTCGCGTGAATATTAAATTTTGAAGGTGTCGCTTGTCATGCTATAGTCCGCGTCTCGTTTTGCCGCCTGACTCAGCAAGAGTCATTAATAACTTCGAGGAGGTAGATAAAGTACTAAACACCACAGGAACATCGTTGCTTATGCACACGTCATTACTCTGGGTAACCAGATTCGATAAAGATTCACTAATATATTTCTTGATGATGATTATTTTGAGTAATTATACATGTAGTGAAAATGTTAATACTGCATTATGAAGGCAAAGAATCTTCTTAATTCTTATATAATACATAAGAATAAAAGAAATAATCTTGAACATAAAGCAATTGTAAATAATGCTTCTTCATTATTTCTAAACTTTCTATATAACTAGATATTCATTTCATGTTTATGAGTTATGTATTATAATGTAAGAATGCACAACACTAACTTTTTAAATAATATAAACGGATTACGAAAAATTACAGATTATTTACACTTACAAATGACAAGAAATTTATTCATGGTTTAAAATATAAACCAAAAATTATTTTAATAAACAGTACGATTTTATCAATATTCTAAATGGAAATATATGGAAATACATAAAATATTGTCAATTTGTTTATTGTATAAGTATACTTAAAGTAATTTATACAAAAAATTGAGTTATTCAATAAAAATAGAATGTTATAAACAAAACTTTCATATTATATATAATTTAATTAAATATAAATATTAAATATAAATATTAATATTTATAAGAATGAATGTAATATATTTTTTAAATATTTTTAAAATTTAATATACGTAATTTTGATAAGTATTTTAATTTTAATTGTATTATCAGTGCATGTACTAAAATTTTATCTGAAATAATTTTGTATATTATAAATGTCGTTAAATTTATCGTGCATAAATTACAAATTTAAATAAAAAATATTTTAATTTAAAGAAAAAATAGCAGTAACCTTTTCTTAAATCTTAAAAGCAATTGTAGAATTACATTGGCTATAGAATATAGAACACCCTCTTCTCGCAAAGAATTAACTTTGATCCACAATACATTTTTAAATTATTATTAAATTGAAAATAATTACGTGACAAGATTGAACCGGATCGCTCTACAAAGATAAAAAAAAATAATCAGTTTTTTCTACAGAAAACTATATAAAGTTAATTTCATATAAATCATATATTTATATATACTTTAATGGTAGCATTTAACAGCGCTCAATACACATCCTTTCTCTGTACACTATTATCGTTAATATTCATTGGTATCAGGCAAATGTATCATTATAGCGAAATGTAAACGAAATATTGCAATTTAAAAGAGCAATAATGACAAGTAGCACGAGAATCTGTAATGTATGCATTAAATGTGCTTTAACATTTTCATCGGTTAATAATTAATTATACATGGATAAAATCGCGACTAGGAAAGTTGAAATTATCATGCGCCAATCAATAAAAAGTCGAATAAATTTTTTATGTCACATCGCATGTGTTATTACTATATACTTTTGCTATTTACTCTGTCCGATGTATAACAGTTAACACGCTAACATACTCGCGAGAAGAAAACACCATCTTTCCATTTGTGTTCTTCCGTGTAACATTATTCTCGGCACAATTGACAATTGCAATTTGTAACATTAAAATTCATTTATAATCGAGTTAAATATGAAATCAAGTAGAACACAAATTCGACATAAAATATCAATCGCAAATGCTAAATGTTGGAATATTTTAAAAAGGCAAGCCACCGAATTTTGCAATAACACTGGATTACATGGTTATAAATACATCAGCCAAACTCAACGTTCCAAAACAGAGCGGTATGTATAAACTTTTTAATGTTGTAATTTTAAATGTAAATTGATAAATAAAATATAACATAGATAATTTATCAAGATGTTATGTGACTGAAACTTTTTATATTTTCAATACTTTTTAGTACTTATCAAAAAAGGTGTTTCAATAGTTATCACACTTGATCAAATTAGCTAATTGATGCTGATTCTAAAACTATCTATTTGAACAAAATATAGAATATACTTTGAGCATTATAAAATGTAAAATATTTTATTAATGGTAATGTTACAAACCAAATAGCAATATGTTTAAAAAATTCTTGGAGACGTATACATAAAAAAAGCGAATTATAATGTAAAAAAATCATAACTTCTTCATTTTTTAAACTTTTTTAGTTAAACTTTTAGGGTGACACTCTTAAAATGTAATACTTTCGAATAAAAATATGTACTAGGTGTAAAAAATTTTTCAAGAGACATGTGAAGAGAATTATTTTTTCTTCAAACACATGTATTTATGCATTTTTTAATAGTCTGTCTCAATCAACAGAGGAAATTTCGAACTCATGATTGATATCGCGTAAGACTCGATTATGAGCGCGTGGTAACAACGAGATTATTAATATAAAGGGAATACTTATATACGTTAATTAATAAATTTCTTTCAATTTATTAGTTTTTCTTCAAGCTCAATTTTTTTATAAAACTAGATAATATTAGGTGTTGGAATTAATTCGTAGCGTTTTTAATGAAAGAATGTTATTTATTTCACATGAGCATTAAAAAATACATTAATGAAAGTACTTCCCATCACTTGTAAAACGCTACGAATTAATTCCAACACCTAATATATACCTGTTTCTTATAATTAAAAATTTAATTTTAAACGGACATTAAACTAAAAATTTAGTAGTCGTTTAAAATTACTTCGTCGTAAATATATATTAAAACTTTTATCTTGCAGCACTCTTAAAGAATATGTTAGTTCTATAACCAATTAATAAAAAATCTTCAAAATTTAAATCTAACTTCAGTGTTCACAAAAAATGAAAAGTGTGAAAATAATGAAATTTAAAAAATGAGATATGATAAAGAATATGGGTTAAATTTCAAATTTCAAAACGCAAAGTGAATAATTGTGAATGCTAAACGATTTTATACTCATAGCTAAAGATACGTTTTTACTCTTCAAATTTAAACAATACATATTTACTCAAAAATATTTATAATGTAAACGTTATTATCACTCGGATATATTCATGTGCAATCGGTTTTAACCATCATTTTTACGGAAAAATTCCTGTTTGCAACATAAAAACGGGATCATACTCATTGAGTGAAATGAACGTTTTTATCACTCAAACACCGTTTGCAGGCTAAAAACGAACTAAAAATGGTGAAAAAAATTTATATAAGGTATACATCCGTGGATGTAATACATATATAATAAATGTTGTTTTAAACATACATTGATTTAATTTTTATACATGATATTAGGGTTTTTTAATTAACTCTCCTCTTTTATATAGCGCTTTTATACAGTGCACATGTGTGTGTGTGTGTGTGTATGTGTGTGTGTGTGCGTGCGTGCGTGCGTGCGTGCGTG